AAAAATTAAACTTTTGTAAAAACGATTGAAAATACATATTTTATTTATAATTTTAAAACATAAAACCCCTTACAATTACTAACAAAGTGGGCATCATAAACTAATTTCTATTATTCATTTCAAAATCAATTATATTCTTAATTGTATAGTTCTGCCGTAAACGGTAGTTCTTGCAGTATCTTTATGGCGGCGCGACGGTGGCGCTACACCAAGGGAAAATGCATGAACTCTCTGGAAACTTGTGGATACTATCGGCAATGTGAAGAGCTCTTTACCATATTTTGCTTAAGAGACTGAAATTTCTAGTTATGTCACTGTTTAAACGCCATTAAACTTAGATTTAATTTTATGATATTCTCTTTTGGTTTTACGGTATAAATACAAAGTGCTTATTTGACCGTGCATTTGCTTTAATTTCATTTTATATTATCTGATGTACGGTATTCGTTAAACCAAACTTATACTGTATTTTCATATCGCGCCAGTGTGAATTTTCTGATAAGATGGCATCACGAATTCTTTAATCCCGATTACGATGGACCGAGTGGTTAAGATGGCAGCTTGCTGTTCTGGAGACCCGGAATCGAATCCATACGGGTTGAAAAACCCCAGATATTTCTCAGGAATTGTTCCGGCTACATGGGACTCCGTCCCTCGCCACCCAGCGGAACCCATAATGGGCTTGCTAAAAAGATCCTCTTAGTATCTACTAAAGGAATCTTTAAAACAAAATAAACGATCACGTGACCGCTATTCACGAGAAAATTAATATTTTACACTTGCATTTCTATTACTAATTGTATATTGGAAAAAAACCCTTCACTAAACCATTGTCGGATAATCTATTGCTTGAATAAGATTTATATGATTCTTTTTACAGTAAGTTAGCCATTGGAACATCTGCAGATACAAATGATAGAATATGTTCTTATAATGTGGAAGATTTGAATTAATTTTCACCTATGTGTGCACCACGCTTGCACCTTTTGTGACTTTGAGTACATCTAACCTGTGTTCAATTTCTTGTCAAGCTTTCTCTAACAACTTTGCAGAGACATACGCAATAGCGTTTGTTATTCTACTCTTCAGTGTTGCAACATTAGACACACGTTGAAGAGACTTTGTCTTTGACATAACCTCACAGGAAAAATCCATGATGGTTATATTTGAAGATGGTGGTGGCCAGGATATCGGATGTCCAATCCATCTGTCGGAAAATGTGGCAATAAGGAAACTCGAACACTTAACCCCAATATAGTGATGCACCTTCTTATTAGAAAAATCATTCAACTTGTTCGATCGAGATGTTACAAAAAGTTCCAACTTGTTCAGGTACACGCTGGCTGTTATTGTTAATTCGCAAAGAAAGAAAAAATGAAAAAAAAGGAAAAAATTTTACGATTCTTATTTATCAAATATTTACACAAAGTGTATAAAAATACATTATTGATTTTTATTTACGAATCAATAAATTAGCAACAATTCACAAAATAATAATGCGGTTTATTTTAATTTTTACCTAAAATTCACAAAATTATTGAAGTATTTTGAAAAATGCGTTGCAGAAAATATCTAAAATAGAATAACAATAACTGAATCAACAGAAAAAGAAAATATAACATCAAAATGAACAAATTTGAAGTGTCATAAGGAGGGTTATAACACCGGAAATTACAATGGAAAAGTAAAACTGTTTCATATTTATGAAATTAACTTTAATTCTGTTAAATCTTAAAATAGCATTCTACGTGAAAAAATTGGAATTTCGATTTATTTTTATATAATTTTGAAATTTTCAGCATACTCGAAAATATTACACAGAAAAAAAAATTATAAATTCGTTTTGTGGAATTATTTAGACAGTATTTTTTTGTTTACCTTAGTTATAAGTTAAAGCTGTAAAGGCTATAAATATATACTGTACCAATCTGACACTCATAAGTTGACATAATAGAGGAAATTTCGGGAAAGAAAATCAACTTTAGATTACTGGAGACCGCGATGTCAATTTAAAATAAATCCCCCTTTCAGAAAAAATTCACTGAAGAATAATCAAAAACCAATTTCGCAGGATTTTTCTTCTGATGACGGTCAGGCAGAGAATTCCGGCAATAGACTTCGATTCCATAGAAAATCTCGTATATAAAAATACATTAAATTTCTGTAACACTAAAATTAATTCAAAAAATTTTCGACTAGAAATAAATTTTTCAATGTTCAAAAGATGGCGCTAGGCGTTAAATAAGCATGACTGTTCGAATTGAATTTCCAGTCGTCACGTTTGTCCAACATTGCAGTTTACTTTATATTTACAAGTAGAATAATAAATTCATAAATATAAATATTTATACGAAAAAATCCGTTTTTTACAAATAAGAATTTTTACGTGTACAAATTAAATAATGTATAATTTTGTAAGTAAATTTGTTTATTCAAATTTGAAACTTAGTAAGTTTCAAATTTGAATAAACAAATAAATTCAAATGATTTAACTACTTTTGATATTTTCAAAAATACAAAATTAATATATTATATATTAAATAAAAGAAACTATTGCGTAACGCATAGCTACGTGTTTTTTTACGTAAAAAGCGTAACCACTTTTTAATTGCATGTTGTCATTTGCGGTTGGATAATTGGAAGGTGCATTAAATTTTCATGCGTAAAATTAAACTTAAAATTTTAACTACAACGTATTTCAATGCGTTTTATATGAATTTCTGTTTTTCGAGTACTCCTCACCCACCTTCCACCACTTATTAATTGAACATTCAAAGTCTACCCACAGTCTATTATTGTTATCCCCAAGCGGTAGGCTGATGCTTTTAACAGGTCGACCATCTAGGCGTTCTACTACAATTTATTTGGAAAAATGTTTATCTTCTCAATTGTATTTATAAACCTTTCTCTTTTCGAGAATTTGTGCATGTAATTAATGAACTGTTGAAGATAAATTAAAGAACTTTGAGACTCGTGCTACCAATTAATTGATACTATCAATTATTTTTCAGTAAATTAAAATTTTATTATTATTTATAATATTTTCTTATACAAAACAATATTATAAAATTGATTTATATATAAGAAGAAGTAAAAAAAAAATTACGCATCGAGTTTTTCAAATTAAATTTTATTATAAAATATATGTTTTATTCAAAATAAACACTAAAAAGTGAATTATGAGTATAATTATTTTAGCATTTATGAATTATTATCTTTACACAGAAGTTACTTTCCTGTGATAAAAAAAGATTTTCCTTCGATGTTTTATTTCAATAGCATTTGTTATTGTTACGATGTTACAAAAAGACATAAATCTTTTCGCCTGTTTCAATATATTTGGCTAGAAAGTTTTTCTTAGAAAATAGAAAAACAAAACTGTGTTTTTTTATTTTTTTAAGTATTTATTAATAATACATAAAATGATAAAATATATTTCATTTTGTAAGCTTTTCTTTTATGGATTAATTTATTTCGCTCTTTGTTATTAAGGTTACTTTTCCTACATTAAATATTAATACTTTCACCTAAAGTATTATTTTTGAAAGCTAAATTAATATATTTATATTTTAGAAATAGAATAGAATATTTTTAAAATTTTAATTAAAAATGAGAATTAATATATCTGAACGCATATATACAGTATTATCACTATTTTTTTTATAATTTTATCTTCCTTGAATGAGAAATTTCTAATATATTGCCAAGATATAAATATAAACTATTTTCATTTNCTGATGTACGGTATTCGTTAAACCAAACTTATACTGTATTACACCGCACACTGCCAATATGACTTGTGACAAGCTTGAGGATTTCAAATGGGAAATTCTGCAGAACCCATCCTATTGTCCTGATCTTCCATCATGTGACTTTCATGTGTTTGGTGACTTGAAAAAGCACCTGAAAGATACCGGTAGAAGTGCAGATGGCAGGTGGTGGTCACAGACTTCCTAAAGCAGAAACCAGAAGACTTCTATGAACATGGCTCATTCCCCAGTGGAACAAATGCCTCCATGATGGTAGTTAACTGGTTTAACTTACATGTAACAGTTTGCAAATATATTACATTGATTCATTTTCATTTGACTTTTCATATTATTATAAAACCAAAGGCAGGCTCCACAAGACAGACAATAGTGACATGTTTCAGCACATTTTTTTTTTCAATAATCATGCTGAATACAGTGCTGTCCAAAAATCTTGCACCAATTATAAATCTTATTTTGTCTTCATGAGCACTCAAAGTGTTTGCATTAGCAGCATTAAATAAAGATAAAATATATTTTATCATCAATAATGGTATTTTAATCGAATTTTCCAATATTTTGTTTTCTTACAACACAATGTTATGGAGTAAAGCTTGGTTTAGTAATACCGTATTTGTAAAGGAGATAAGTGGGAGATAAGTTACACAGTATGTCAAAGTGCAACCCTGGTCACTTAAAAAAATTGTTACCTTTGAATCTGGAGAAGTTGGCTGTTGGCATTATAGAAGATTTTTTTAAATTTTGAATGCCATTCATGATCAAATAATTCTGAACTTGAAAATATGTTTTTTTATTTGTACTTATTATTTTATAAACTAAAAATTGACAAAATTATTTCTTTCTTGTTTCTTAACATTAAAGAAATCATTTGAAAAGCAAAAATTAAACATCATTATGAAGAGTATTCATTTGTTTTAAATAACAATAGTAATAATTGCATGGTATTGTGGTTTTAATTATAACTTTTAATTTTTTTTCAACAAATTATTTATCTAAAATTCTGAACAAAATAGATTGATAGGAATCAAAATTTAATGATTCGTTGAAAATATGACACATAAAAATTATAAAATGTTTAACATAAATAAAACTAAAATAATAATAATAATAATAATAATAATTGTTTATGGAATTATAAAAATGATAAATTTTACTGTATGGTGAATGAAATTGATTACATAGTGTGAAAATAATGTGAGCTGGTACCTTTTATTTTGTGTATTTTTTCAGAACGAGTTGATAAAATAAAGCAAGCAATGGCTGGATTCACTCTACCATGTTCTTCAGTCCCAAATTGGGCATTCAACATTCCAGAAGATGAATGGAAAGAAAGATTAGTCACAATATTACAGAAGAAAACAAATTAAAATTCAATTCTAATATAATTCTATAAAATAAATGTAAATTATGAAAAATTAATTGTACATATTGTATTTTTGTTCTTAAAAGTTGATACTTAGAATAATTTTATTAATTGTAAAATATTGAGATATTGCAGATGAAGGGTCCATTTCTTTAGAAAACCAATTGTAATTCATGAAATAAATAGAATATTTAACTGCTGCTGTATTAATGAATTTAACTGTTTATAAATGAAGTTCAATTTGTGCAATAAAAAATATCTTAATGTATCAAAGTATAATTTTGCATAATTATTTAAAATATTGTAATCCGGTTTGGCATCATTCTAGACTCGACAAAAATAACTATGAAACTGCTTTTGATGAAATCTTTTTTAAGATGATTTTCTATTTTAAAACTGCATATATAATAAAGTTTAAATTGTAATATGCTTGTGTATTTTCTGAAGTTATTTATTATATATATATTTCAATTAAAAATGTGTGTAAGTATTAAATTTATACACACATTTTCAATTTCCTTTAACAAGATTTCAATTCACTATTCACGAGAATCGAAAATAACTGCCACACGAATAAGAAAAAGTAAATCAAATAATCTAGCGTTATTCTTGAATGCTAAAATAAAATACGAAGTCAGACTATATCGATTACATTTCATTTATTGTTTTTCTGGAAAATTCTGAACTCTGCAGTTTAAAAAAAAAAAAAAAAACGCAATCCTATACGTCCAAATGGCATTACTTATACAAGATATTTAAAATAACTCATCCTCGTTTCGATATTACATAAGGATCGATGTGCCGATCAGATTTAATTCATTGTCAGTTCGGTAATATCCCCAGTGCAGGGCATTGTACCTGTATATGTTGATTAAAAAAATAGTTAATGTTCAATTATTAATATTTTCTATCAGACCGGACTTAACAAATTTAACATCATAAAGCTTAATAAATATTCATTTATATTTCATATCACGAGTATTTCAGGATTGTTCCACAAAATCAAAACTTCCCAGAACAATTCAGATTCATAACCATATGAGTTGCTTGTGATTAGTGAACATTGCTTTAGTTGGTCAATTTTTCCTTTCAAAATATTGGCTGTAAACATTATGGACTTTAAATATTTTTTTCTTTTTTTTGTTCGATATTATATTTGGTTATAACAAAAGAATTTTTTAATATTGCTTACCTATAATAGTTTGTAACGATTTAAAAATTTTGTTTAAATTTGTATCCACAAATTTCCAGAACGTGTTTTTGAATTCTGCCACACAAGGACGTTATGTCTCTGCAGTCATTGGATATTGCTAGGTGTTAGCTTAGGTCTACACTTTTTAGTTTTTCATTGGTGACATGCTTTATAAAACCAGTTCAGATTAACATTGTGCAGTAATTGGCTGCCATAATAGCTAGAGAGTTGTTTATAAGTGGTTTGAAGCTGTACGCAATGTACTGTACAGTACATGAAAACATGCATCGAGATGTCCATGTATTTATTGAACCGTTCTAGTTACATTCATTTCCACGTGATAAAAATTTAAGAAGATAATGGGTAACCAGATGTACAGGTACTACACATCCAGCTAGATAAATATATTTGCCATCATAAGACACAAGTCCACACAGAATGATTATTTGCAGATAGGCTGTACAGTTGTCTTAAGGACACAAGTTTTTTGTGACTATTAATTAAAATTTTACCACATGAAAAATAATTATAAGACTCAAGACTTTAAAGACAAGAAAGAATTAAGCATTTTTTGGAAATCATAGGCTTTATTTTTAATAAGATATTCAAATATAGCTGGATATTTTAAAGGTTGTCATTCTCTCGTTCTACGATTTTGTAGTACCGATTGATGAAAATGACTGTCCATCTGAAAATAAATTAGAGAATACAAGTTTGTCAAAAAAACTATACAAAAATCCGAAAATTTTGCATTAGACTTAATTCTATGATATTCCATGAATATTTTGGTCTACTTTATGAATTAAACGGCGATATAAATATTTCCTGACAGATAATAACAGTGGAATATTAGTAAAATTACAGAAGCCAATTTTGCCAATTAGTTTCTAGAGATAAAAAAAAAATAGATAAAAAATATGATTTAGGTTTTCTTAATTTAAATTTTTATTAGCTTTAAAAGATATTTCCTCGCGAACCATGTAGCACGCTTTTTTTCTTTACGTTGGAAAAAATTAAACTTTTGTAAAAACGATTGAAAATACATATTTTATTTATAATTTTAAAACATAAAACCCCTTACAATTACTAACAAAGTGGGCATCATAAACTAATTTCTATTATTCATTTCAAAATCAATTATATTCTTAATTGTATAGTTCTGCCGTAAACGGTAGTTCTTGCAGTATCTTTATGGCGGCGCGACGGTGGCGCTACACCAAGGGAAAATGCATGAACTCTCTGGAAACTTGTGGATACTATCGGCAATGTGAAGAGCTCTTTACCATATTTTGCTTAAGAGACTGAAATTTCTAGTTATGTCACTGTTTAAACGCCATTAAACTTAGATTTAATTTTATGATATTCTCTTTTGGTTTTACGGTATAAATACAAAGTGCTTATTTGACCGTGCATTTACTTTAATTTCATTTTATATTATCTGATGTACGGTATTCGTTAAACCAAACTTATACTGTATTTTCATATCGCGCCAGTGTGAATTTTCTGATAAGATGGCATCACGAATTCTTTAATCCCGATTACGATGGACCGAGTGGTTAAGATGGCAGCTTGCTGTTCTGGAGACCCGGAATCGAATCCATACGGGTTGAAAAACCCCAGATATTTCTCAGGAATTGTTCCGGCTACATGGGACTCCGTCCCTCGCCACCCAGCGGAACCCATAATGGGCTTGCTAAAAAGATCCTCTTAGTATCTACTAAAGGAATCTTTAAAACAAAATAAACGATCACGTGACCGCTATTCACGAGAAAATTAATATTTTACACTTGCATTTCTATTACTAATTGTATATTGGAAAAAAACCCTTCACTAAACCATTGTCGGATAATCTATTGCTTGAATAAGATTTATATGATTCTTTTTACAGTAAGTTAGCCATTGGAACATCTGCAGATACAAATGATAGAATATGTTCTTATAATGTGGAAGATTTGAATTAATTTTCACCTATGTGTGCACCACGCTTGCACCTTTTGTGACTTTGAGTACATCTAACCTGTGTTCAATTTCTTGTCAAGCTTTCTCTAACAACTTTGCAGAGACATACGCAATAGCGTTTGTTATTCTACTCTTCAGTGTTGCAACATTAGACACACGTTGAAGAGACTTTGTCTTTGACATAACCTCACAGGAAAAATCCATGATGGTTATATTTGAAGATGGTGGTGGCCAGGATATCGGATGTCCAATCCATCTGTCGGAAAATGTGGCAATAAGGAAACTCGAACACTTAACCCCAATATAGTGATGCACCTTCTTATTAGAAAAATCATTCAACTTGTTCGATCGAGATGTTACAAAAAGTTCCAACTTGTTCAGGTACACGCTGGCTGTTATTGTTAATTCGCAAAGAAAGAAAAAATGAAAAAAAAGGAAAAAATTTTACGATTCTTATTTATCAAATATTTACACAAAGTGTATAAAAATACATTATTGATTTTTATTTACGAATCAATAAATTAGCAACAATTCACAAAATAATAATGCGGTTTATTTTAATTTTTACCTAAAATTCACAAAATTATTGAAGTATTTTGAAAAATGCGTTGCAGAAAATATCTAAAATAGAATAACAATAACTGAATCAACAGAAAAAGAAAATATAACATCAAAATGAACAAATTTGAAGTGTCATAAGGAGGGTTATAACACCGGAAATTACAATGGAAAAGTAAAACTGTTTCATATTTATGAAATTAACTTTAATTCTGTTAAATCTTAAAATAGCATTCTACGTGAAAAAATTGGAATTTCGATTTATTTTTATATAATTTTGAAATTTTCAGCATACTCGAAAATATTACACAGAAAAAAAAATTATAAATTCGTTTTGTGGAATTATTTAGACAGTATTTTTTTGTTTACCTTAGTTATAAGTTAAAGCTGTAAAGGCTATAAATATATACTGTACCAATCTGACACTCATAAGTTGACATAATAGAGGAAATTTCGGGAAAGAAAATCAACTTTAGATTACTGGAGACCGCGATGTCAATTTAAAATAAATCCCCCTTTCAGAAAAAATTCACTGAAGAATAATCAAAAACCAATTTCGCAGGATTTTTCTTCTGATGACGGTCAGGCAGAGAATTCCGGCAATAGACTTCGATTCCATAGAAAATCTCGTATATAAAAATACATTAAATTTCTGTAACACTAAAATTAATTCAAAAAATTTTCGACTAGAAATAAATTTTTCAATGTTCAAAAGATGGCGCTAGGCGTTAAATAAGCATGACTGTTCGAATTGAATTTCCAGTCGTCACGTTTGTCCAACATTGCAGTTTACTTTATATTTACAAGTAGAATAATAAATTCATAAATATAAATATTTATACGAAAAAATCCGTTTTTTACAAATAAGAATTTTTACGTGTACAAATTAAATAATGTATAATTTTGTAAGTAAATTTGTTTATTCAAATTTGAAACTTAGTAAGTTTCAAATTTGAATAAACAAATAAATTCAAATGATTTAACTACTTTTGATATTTTCAAAAATACAAAATTAATATATTATATATTAAATAAAAGAAACTATTGCGTAACGCATAGCTACGTGTTTTTTTACGTAAAAAGCGTAACCACTTTTTAATTGCATGTTGTCATTTGCGGTTGGATAATTGGAAGGTGCATTAAATTTTCATGCGTAAAATTAAACTTAAAATTTTAACTACAACGTATTTCAATGCGTTTTATATGAATTTCTGTTTTTCGAGTACTCCTCACCCACCTTCCACCACTTATTAATTGAACATTCAAAGTCTACCCACAGTCTATTATTGTTATCCCCAAGCGGTAGGCTGATGCTTTTAACAGGTCGACCATCTAGGCGTTCTACTACAATTTATTTGGAAAAATGTTTATCTTCTCAACTGTATTTATAAAATCTTTCTCTTTTCCAGAATTTGTGCATGTAATTAATGAACTGTTGAAGATAAATTAAAGAACTTTGAGACTCGTGCTACCAATTAATTGATACTATCAATTATTTTTCAGTAAATTAAAATTTTATTATTATTTATAATATTTTCTTATACAAAACAATATTATAAAATTGATTTATATATAAGAAGAAATAAAAAAAAAATTACGCATCGAGTTTTTCAAATTAAATTTTATTATAAAATATATGTTTTATTCAAAATAAACACTAAAAAGTGAATTATGAGTATAATTATTTTAGCATTTATGAATTATTATCTTTACACAGAAG